CTGAACATTTTGTACAATGAGGACGACGGGCTGCGTTCATGTCAGGAGCGCAGAAATGTAACGACAGAGACTGAGGGACTCTTCATCCCTCAGCAGAGGAGAGTTTTAAAGAGTACTGATGAGAGCTGTGAACTGGAAGTAACAGGATTTGTGTGAGCATCAAATACACACTCACACACACATTTTGGCCTCCTGACAACTACTGTGAGATTTCTGTGATGATATCCTGAATTTACCTGGAACACTGTGGGTGGAGATCACACCAGATTCTGGGGCAACTCAGGACAGACACATGAGGGGTCCTGGTCTCTCCTTATCATCGTGCACCTCCATCTCCAGTAATCAGTTAGAAAAACAGATGAGTAGAAAGTCGGACAGTTTCCCCCCTCTGACAGGAGTCAGTTCAGAAAGGACCCAAATGCAGAGCAGCAGACAGGGTGAAGGTTTCTGGTTAGAAAAAATCCTCCAAACAGGCAGGCGAAAAAAGAAGGAGAACCAAAACTTAACTGAACCAAACCAGGGAAGCACGACGAATGACACCATGAGCACAGATGAACTGACGAGGAATAAAGGGAAACACACAGGTATACACACAGGAAACTAATCACAGGAATGAGACACAGCTGCAGTAGGTGGACACAGGTAAAAGGAGGGAAATGTGGATTGGCTGACAACAAGGGTGTGGTGGGGAGGGTGGAGCAGAACAGGTGTGATTGAAGGGAAGACTGGAACAAGTAGGGACTAATGAGACTGATGGAAGACATTTGTGACAGAAAACAGGCGGGAAAACACACAAAGACAGGAAGTCAAACCAGGCATGACACATGAGGAGAGAATCTACAAAATAAAACAGGAGACAGATTAAATATGAATATAGAGAGAGTGGGCCCTCCATCAATGTGCTGGGTGGAGAATGGGCCTCTATAAGTGATCGCCACCTTAGAAATCTGCCTGTGTTTTTTGTTTTTTTTAAAAGATTATTTTTGTGGGCTTTTGCCTTTAATGACAGGACAGAGAGTGAAATGGGGAGACAGAGAGTGGGGACTGACATGCAGCAAAGGGCCGCGAGTCGGATTCGAACCCGCGGCCGCTGCAGCGAGGCAATGCCTCTGTACATGGGGTGCCGGCACTATCCACTATGCTTCCGACGCCCAAGAAATCTGCCTGTGTTTTAAAGCCTCAGTGTGTAAAAATGGTGAGTAACAGTGACATCAGCAGTCAAATTCTAGATTGCAGCGCTCACTAACGCTCACTCACTCACCCCTCCTGTTGGGTAAGTGATGGTGGCCTCGTAGGACAAAAAGCCTTACGCAGACAGCAGAGTTTTTCGAGTTTTTCAGAAGTATCTAGCGACAAGGTGAATATTTATTTAGGAATCTAAACCATGTTATGATATGTTATAGCTTACCAGTGAGATATAGGTTATCTGTGAGATATATGTTAGGAGTGTTTTATTTCAAATTGTTTTGGTAACACGAGCAAACATTAGCACAGTAATGCTAAAATAACACGTTTTATGTGATAGTCGCGGCACAGTGCGGCAAATATAGGTTGGATTATAATATATGCATTTCCAGAGTGTTCTTCCACAGGACACAGGGAGATGAGGAAGAGGGAGAGGGAGAAGAGGAAGACCAGGGAGAGGAAGGGGCGAGGGGGTAGAGGCGGTGCAGGAACGGCCAGGCGAAGAGGTGTGTCTCAGCTACCCAGAGGGAAGTGGAGGAGGAGAGGGTGGCAGCCTTCGCAGCAGCGCGAGAGGAATCAACAGATTAGGCTGTAGGCTAAGCTAACCATTTAGCTGTAGCTCTGTGATAATGTTAGCCAAGGCTAGGATAGCGTTAGCACATAAACGTAGCCGTCATTCAAACTTAGACGAGAGGGAAAAGTAGTTGCAAACATGAAGCCAAAATGATTTTAAAATATCAGATTGAATTACCTGTCTAGCAGAAAGCAGGCAACCTCCGCATCCCTTGTGAAATCCTTCTCCTTCACGAGTTCTTTTCTTTTATTTGGTGGCGTGGTTTCCCTCTTACGGGGCAAAACATGTGTGTGGTCCTCCATTTAAACTGCAACAGAATCATAAAGTACAAAGCAGGTTCACGCAGAAGCGCCCCGGATTGATCTTCACCTTCTCCAGTGACGGCAAGTTCTGGGTAAACGCGAAGCGCGTATATCCCTTTCGGCCACTGTATTCAAATATGGCAACGCAAGAGGGCAGCCTCCAGCAGACCGCGCCCTGCCTGTGTATATATATAGAGAAATCATTCTAAGCCTATGAGAAAGCTTCCATTTGTATGTGAATTGCATTACACTTTAGTAAATATATATTTTATGAAAGCAATAGTTGATATGTGCTAATAAACAACCACGTAAATTACACATTGTAACTTTAAGGAGAACTCTCATTAAATTAAAAATAGTGCCATTTGTTGGCCTTCGAGAAAGCGAAACCCATCTGTGTCATGTTTTTGTTATTTTATTTTTCTGTAAAATAGTCAATAGTCAACTCATCCTCACCACGACCTCGTCACATATTGAAGTTTGGTCATGGACTTTCCACGTCCACATATGACGTCCCAGGTACCCTGGGTGTGTTGGTTGTTGACGTTCTGGGGCACAGTGTCAATTTCAGCCTGTTGTCTGCTTTCAAAATACACTTCTGTTTTCACAGGAAATGTACAGTTTGCATACAGTCTCTTTCAAAATAAAAGCACTACGTCGTTACAACACCGCAAATTGACGTTTTCCTTCAACAACAAACACACAGTGTTACGTTAAGCCAACACACACATGTGGTTGGGTTTGGCTTCACAATCTTACAGGAAGTGAACACTAGCCTCCTGAGTGACAGTCGGTGGTTGTTGCCACCCGCCCTACTCCGACTTACACAGCCTCAACCTTCATTGTTGTCCCGCCTCGTTTCTCCTTGACGCCATTAAACAATAACGGCAACCAGCAGTGTATCATGTCAACATGAAAGAACGTTTTTTTTCTACCATCACAGAGCTGCTCTCTGAACAGATGGTGATTATGCAACAATAATAATACCTCTCCTGCTTTTAAATGGGTTGTGGCATGTTCCTAAATCATCTATGAGTGAGCTACAGTGTCATCAGCCAAACAAAACATACATGCATAAGAAAGGTCTCCTCCTTATTGGGAAACATCACTTTTGTGATTCAAATATTTCCCTTACCATCATGGATGAGTCACTGAACTACCACTCACAGGCCCAGGGGCCCAAAGTATCAGGGGCCCAAAGGCTCAAATGAACATGTACCAACTAGGAAGAGAATCAAGATGAGCACAAAGAGATGCAAAGGAACTGCAAAGAGACACAAAACAGCTACAAAGAGACAGAAAATGACCCAGTGCTACACAATATGTTGCTCTCCTTTCAGTTTCAGTAACAAGCTGGAACTGTGAGGCTGATCATTTCTGATGAAAATGGACACAGTATGGGAGCACATGTCCTCCATACGCACAAAGAGTTACATTAAGAAAGATTATGTGAAGGCGGCACAATAGAAGTGTGACCCTGAAACTGCGGTGTGATGGTGGGAGGATGATTGCCCTCACTCAGTCTCCTCCCACGACCCAGTTTCACTTTGAGTCACACTGTTTCACTGTGAGCTGTCGGCTCAGGTCTCCTCACTGTAAAGCTGCACTTGGTGACTTTTATGGAAATAGAAATAACTTTTTGTCATATTTGCTGAAACTGTCAGTATATTCTAACAGAAGTACACGACACACATCATCTTCCTCATACAAAAAGCACATTCCGGGGCGTCGGTAGCATAGTGGATAGTGCCGGTGCCCTATGTACAGAGGCGATGCCTTGCTGCAGCAGTCGCAGGCTCGACTCCAGCTTGCAACTATTTGCTGCACGTGCTGTCTGTCTTCATATTTCTCACCTCTAATGTTTTCAGAAACATATTTTAGTGACTGTTTCGCTGTAGAAGGAGAGAGTTAGTTGCGGCCAGTGGGCGGTGCTTGATTTCAGCTCGACTATTTCCAGGATGGCGGCTGGGTCACAATCATTCCCAAGTTCAAGTTATTAATTTTAAAGTTACTGACTACAGATTTAACTCAACCAAACGCTCTCTCAGTGAATGGATGACACAGGCCTGGGGGCCCAAAGTGTTGGTGGGGCCCCCCTTGGGTTTCACCTGTTAAATGTTACTCAGATTAACTCAGAACATATAGGAGAGACAAAAAACGACCACAAAGAGACACAAAAAGATGCAAACGAACTGCAAAGAGACCAAAAATAGGCTAACTTCAGAAACAGGCACAATGAACTCACAGATACATAACGACTACAAAGAGACACAAAATGACCTGATATAAATTAAAAATATTATATATATATTTAGACACACACAGAGACACACACACACACACACACACACACACATATAGCTATATTCCTCTTTTTATTTCTATTAAGAAAAAGGGATTTCCGTCTTGTCTGAGCTTTATGCTAATTTCTTTCTTTCTTTTTTTTTTTTTGAATCGCAATAGCCAGGAAGGGTTGTGCGGGTGGATGACGCGGTAAATGTCAACCTTGACCAAAACCTCTCTTTTTTTACTAGTTAAATTCCTAAAAACAGTTTTTATTCCGCTGAGTATAGTCAGTGTGTAAATAAATGTGTGTAATATAAGAGTGTTTGAATATCCAGAGAGGGAAATGAGCGTTTATAAACAGAGGCACATTGCATTCATCCATGAGCCAGCCCCTTTCAGTGTAGTAGTGGCACGTACCATGTACAACAACAGGGGGGTACGGGAAACTTAAAACAGAATTTAGCCTTATATCTTCATTAAACTATCACACACAACATGTGATGTCATAAAGTATAGGTTTATAACCTCCATGAAAAGCAATGTGTTATTTATAATGGTGGGAATATGACGCGTGACAGGAGCGTGGGGGTCGGAGCGCCCCTCTGAGCTCTGCGTGTTTCCGCCTAAAAGCTAGAGAAGTCGGGATACCGAAGTGAGAGGCAGCACACCGGCCGGACTGGTTCGCACAGATACAAGTGATAATGTCTCCTCCGTGCATGTGCTCTCATAATTTCATTCCTTGAGACGCGTCATCTCAGAAAAGGACGACTGTTATTCCTCAGTGGTGAGTACACACACAGACACACACACACATACACAGCATCCTCAGGGCTTATTACACAGATGATAAAGGCATGGTGTGTGTGAGTGTGAGGGAGGATGAGTGAGGTACCAGTGCGCAGGATGTGGTTGGCCAGTGAATGATGAAACACTTCACACGGATGTCATGCAGCCTGGGCGGGAGACACAGGACACTAATGTATGCGCATTCCTCACAGAACAAACTGTGCCACACCGAGCCGCACCGAGCCACATGGCCCCGGTGAGCCTTGTTGGCTTGATTATTTTTATCCTTTTCTCCATCCGCATTTTCTCTTTGTATCCCGTCGGCCCGTTTACTGACTCGTCATTCCTGAGTCATGTGCAGACACACACACACAGAGAGGAGAAAAAAACCGCTCCTTGTCTTTACGCGCTCTCTCAGCCTCACATCCTCACCCTCAGACACATTCATGCATTCATATTCACGCATTAATCGCGGTGCCACTTCCATTACCGCCTCCATAATATCTGCAGTGAAGGTTACTGAGCATCAGCCTCCTTTTGGCTGCTCCATTCACTGGATTATGAAACGACGGCCTTTGCCTCATGCAAACCAGGCTAATCTGGAAGCGGTAAAGGAAATCTATTAATCACTTAATCCTCCGCTTGGTGAGAATGAGGGGAGGCATGTGGGGTTTCTGCAACATGCTCGCGCCCCTGATGCATTTTTATGAAAATATTTATGGTTGAATTATTGCGTAAAAATGAAAAGCAGGACGCCCGAGGATGCTGATTTGCAGACGAGGATGTTGCGCACCTTAACCCGCCTCAGGGCGCGCACTGTCCACACCCTTGAATCTTTTCCAGCGATATTTATAGTCACAGCAGGAGATATTAATGTGAATAAATGATGATCTTGTACAGGAAGATATTTTGCCTCCACCCTTGTGGTTAGGCAGCACGCGCATGTCTGCTCACATCCCCGTTTGTATTTTGGAAGTTGATACCCTTTTATATTTGAGGGCTTTCCCCATCCCATCCAGAGAGCTGCGGAGAAAAGGAGTGTTTGGGTTCCTATGCAAATGGACTCCTCCCTTCAATTATTCAGGAGGATGGAAACGTGATCGACCTGTCAGTGTCCACATCAGCGAGTCACTCCCTGACCTTTCTTTCTTTACTTCAGAACATTGACTTGTAATAAAAAGATCCTCATTCAGTGAGTGTGCTGCCTCAGCCAGACACGTGATCTCCATGTGAGTTATAACTCTGCGTCCCCGGATAAAGCAATAATTCTCTGGATGGACTTTTTCCCCACAGTCCGGCCAGGCCAGAGAAAAAGATCAGTGTCAGGTCAGAACAGGAAAAGTTCTGTTATAACAGGATGTCATAAACGTTTACACGAGATATTATCATGTTATAACAAAAAAGGTGTAACGTTATAACAAGATGAATAAGTAGGCTGTAATAATAACAAAAACGTGTCACAAAAAGTTTCACATTAAAAGAAGAGAAATAAGTATATTTTTTTTCTTTGTTGTTGTTAAAATGTAAATAATATCTTTTTATTACAAGAAACTTTTCTTTATATATCAAAAGTTTCTTGTAATAACATGAAAACATTTTGTTAAGACATCAAAACATTGTTATAAGAAGAAAGTTTTATTGTTGTATCCAGAAACTGATACTGATCAGTTTTGTTTTCCTGGCGTGGCATCAATAAGCTTCCGTACTCTCAGATCAGACTCAGATAACTCAGATAGGATGTGAGGTATTTTTCTATGAAATAAAAGTATGATTATAATCAGACAGAAACACCTCACACAGTTTGAGCTGTTGAGATAAATCCAGTCTTTTTAAAACAAGGTTAAAAGAAAGTCAGTTCTCGTCTCCATCTGCCAGAGTCAGCATGTTTTTGCTTATTCAAAGTTAATTCATGTTAAAACCAGTCAGACAGAAATGTATGAAGGGAAATTAGAGACTGACAGTCAAGACACAAAACTGTAATGCTGAGCAGCGACTTATCAAATGTGTCAAAGCTCTGACGCAACCTCGTCTATAATTTTCACTGCTGTTTTCTCGCTGTAATCTGTATATGTCCTCCTCTGTCCCACAGACTCTTGGTGATAATGAAGACATAGGCTAAACAACTTCCTGATCACTCAACCTGCACAAACTGTCTCAAACCTCAACGGGCACTTGAACCCTAACACCTTTAAACTCTCAGCTTTGCACAGCCAAGGTTCAGAAAGTGACTTTTTCCCAGACGCCGGCCCTGCCAACTTATAAAGACGTTCCACCCCTCGCCCTTGTTTGCTTTATCAAATGCCCAAAAACAGCAAGGCCGTCAAGAGAGAGCTTGACGACGATGTCACAGAGTCTGTCAAAGACCTGCTTTCCAACGAGGACGCCTGTGACGATTCCTTCAAGAAGACCTCGCTGATCGTCAACAACCATGAAGGGGAAGGGAAAGAGTGCGACGTGGAGGAAGGGGGCTCGGACGGAGAGGAGGAGGAACGCCCGGCCTGGAACAGCAAGCTCCAGTACATCCTGGCCCAGGTTGGCTTCTCTGTAGGCCTGGGCAACGTCTGGAGGTTCCCCTACCTGTGTCAGAAGAACGGAGGGGGTGAGTTACCGCCAGCAGCCGACAAATATAATGATGATGATGATAGTCATAAGAAATCATAATTCACTAACTTTAAAAAACAGAATCATTTGAGGGACTGTTCTTTACCTGTGAGGGGGGGGGGGGGTTACTGTCAGCCCTCACCACACTGAGGCTGACGAACATGTGCACATAGGAGTGGGGAAATATGGGAAAACATAATGATGATAGTCATAAGAAATCATCCTAACATTATCACTAACTTTAAAAAAGAGGCATTTAAGGGACTGCTTGTTATTTATTGGGGGGAAGGGGGTGGTGCAAAAAGGGGGAGGCATGTCAAATTATTTTTTTAAGCACTGGGGAGGAGCTTATAAATTTTATTTTTGGCTTAGGGAAGAAGCATCAGAAAACAAACAAACATCCAAATCTGAGCTTAAAACAGTGATGTTTCATCAAAATCACTTTATTCTACGTCTCGTTTGGCCAAAAAAATATAAACTGTTTTACCAACAAGAGTGGAAAAACTGAGGCTTTGTTCAACTCCAGGATTTTGTCTTCAACTTTTAACTGTCAAACACCGAAGGGTAAGTTTTAAAAATCTAAATTTGTCTATCATAGCCAAAAACTGTGAAAACTTAAATTATCGTTGGACTTTCAAATTTCCGACAATCCTTGGACACAACATGTGCAACAAACACTTCCGTCAGGGATGAACATAACCAAATTTGACCAAAAATAAACCATTTCTACGAAGTAACGAGTATGAACGACAAGAGTGAGAAACCAAGGCTTCCTTCAACTCCGGCATTTCTTCTTCGTCTTTAAACTTTAAAACATCAAAGGGTAAGTTTTAAAAGTCTAATGTATGGTGGCGGGAGAATCATGGATTTTCCACTAGTCACTCAGGGAGGCCCAAAGAAAATAAATAAATAAAGAACAGTCCCTTAAAAAACAAAATTTTCACAAATATATTAAGTTTATGAATGAATGAAACAAAATAAATCTTGAAGGATCAACAGAAACCACGGCCAAAACTGTGAAACTAAGACTCAGGTTGTAATTAAGCAGAAGTATCGTTACAGTGAGGACGGCAGTAGAAGAAACTTAAATGACTAAATCAGCAACATCAGAATCAACCCAGAGACGGGGCTCGACAATTACGGTTGCCAAAATGCCACTGGCAACCATTTCAAGAAATTGGCAACCAATTCTTGGCGTTAAGTTTCAATCAGTGGAACCACATCTTGACATATGAGAAAAAGGGACAGCAAAAAGCAAAAATAGCACCTCCCAAAAAAGGTACTTCTTTTGAATTTGTTGAATTAGTGATATTTCAGTTTTGCTGTTACAGTCAGAACAGGAACCACGCTGCACGCTGCCAAACTGAAAGTCGGGGATAGTTGAACTTTTAGCGGCAAATAGCAGCCAGAGAATCCCCGCAGCCAATCGTTAAACAGCGTCCTCTCTGTGACACGTTGACCAATGTTACACAGATGCCCTTCCCAGCTGAAACACATAAACACAACTCCCAGTCACAGAAAAATATAATTATAGTGGCGAGCCACACTTCGCAGCTGCGTGGTTTGTTTTCTGTGCAACCCGTCATTACAGAGATTCTTTTACGACACATTTTCACCATCAAGCTGACACATAACTGCATAACTACACTGCAGTGTCTTAATTACTCAGATTATGAGCTGATTTAAAATGGCAACCATGTTTTCAGTCTAGGCAACCAAAAGCAGATGCCTCATTGCCAGCTTGTCAGTGCTGAGCCCTGCACAGATCATTTCACATGACACTGACATGCCGACAGACTAAGAACGACACAATATGAAACCAGGGCCGGATGAAAATTTAGCATCAAAACAGGTAAACTACAGAGAGAGCATCAGGATCAGATATTTCAGAATAAATGCAACTGTACAGTCTGTCTGGTTTGTGAGAGTGTAGAGATCTGAGTCTGCGCGCATCTGTGTGTCTGTGTGTGTTGTATATGTTGTTACAGAGGACAAACGAGGACAGAATAAATTATGGATGTGATGCACTTCGACGGCCTTGTAGACAAACAGAGCCGGATTGCATCACTTTTTTTTTTTTTCCAGTCACACAAATGTGCCTGGAATTGGATTTCCATACTCTCAGTCAATGCAGTCTTCATGGTTTCATTTTTCATGCTTGTATGTCGGTCCAAATTTCACAGAATGATCATGTAGCTTTTATTATAACGTTGTGTTTACAGCTTGTGTGCAGGTCCTGTAACGTCTCAGCAGTGTTCAAGTGAATGCATGTCAAAATGTGTTAAGAAATATGATTGTAAGACAGATCATCCAGTCTCCTCCAAAAAGTCAAAATTTGTAATCAGGTTTCAGTTCTTGGACATTTAAAAGACTCCTCATGATTAGTCCTTTAACGCAGTGGTTCCCAACTGGTGGGAACCACTGCTGGTCCTAAAGTGGGTCACGGGTCCATTCTGAATGGACCACTGGTGACTTGGAAACGTTTCCAGCACATAGCTTTTATTTTGAAGTGTGGTTTCCTGCTGTAGAGTGACTGACTGACGGACAGCTACTTAACAGAGACAGCAAACTAGCTTGACGTCATGGCAAAAGTCAAGTATGACATTGAATATATTAAACTGTGCGAACCTTTAACCAATGACTCAGCAGAAGTCTGGACCCTGAGGCTGAACCAGCTGGAAACCAGCACATCTAGACTCCACATGAAGCACACAGACGCAGGTTTAATGTGCAGTGTGTTCAGTACTCTCTGTGGAAGTGTGTGTAAGACAGATGGGGAAACACAGTTCCTTCCTGTTTGGTACCTGTCTGTTAAAACCAGCCTGCTCAGTGACCTTCAGGGTCGACGGTCATGTGACCTCCTGTCAGTGTTCAATCTGCATCATTTGCATCAAACTCTGCTGTCAACATGTGGGACACCGTCCAGAGAGCAGCTCACGACTGTAGTCTAATAATAACAAGACTGAACCCTGCTGCGATCTAAACCACATTTCCCACAATGCCTTCAACTTCACTTGATTTAAAGTGCTCATCACCTGAAACGATCTCCTCGTGTTGTTGTGTCGCAATGAGGACTCGCTGTTGGGTTATTACTCTGACATGTGTGTGTGTGTGTGTGTGTGTGTGTGTGTCCTGAGAAGGTGAAGAGGTGCTGCACTTCCCACCTGCAGATTATGTCTCAAGAAAGCTGATTAAATGAACCCGTCTCAGACTGGCTGTCCAGACAGGATATAATCTCTCAATCCAAGTCATCATTAACAATGTGCGTGTGGGCTTCACTGAACCACAACAGCTACAGCTACAGCTCCTGTTACAGTCCAACTCCCGAAAAGTCAAGGAAAGAAAGGCAAACAAACCTTGGTAAAGAATTAAAAGGAATTCTCGCCTATTTCAACATCCGGATGCAGAATAAGTTGTTTAAAACTCATCTGTATAATCTGCTGCCTCTTAACATTTCCTTATCACATATGATATTATCATAGTTCACTCAGTAGTCTGTAAACATGCTGAGTGTGCGGTTTGCAGTCGTGCTGAACTATCATGATATTATTATCTACTGTATTACCTTATCATGATATTGTGTTGCAGGGGCGTAAATATAGACAGTGCAGGCAGTGCGGTTGCAGTGGGGCCCCGTGGGGTGCACAGTGGGATTCTTCTCTCACTATTAAACGCTAATGTAATAACATACAGTGAAAAATCTTGGAGAAAAAAGTCGATGAAATTGGCCCATTGAGAGAAGACGTTCAACATCTAGTCTTCATATCGTTAAAAATTACAGTTGGAGGAGAGGTGGGGTTGTGATGGTGGTGGGGGGGTCTGTGGTGGATGTGAGGTGTGATGGATGAAAGCGGGGTGACAGTTTGAGAGACTGAAGAGGCCTGGCTGTGTCTGTGCGTAACCACAGTGAATCATGTCCTTATGAGTTTGTTAATGTACTTCATTTGCGTAAGATCCATCTGTTAGTGTGTGTGTGTGTGTGTGTGTTCAGCTGTGATCACGACCTCTCTCTAACTCCTGTCATGTTTTCAGGTCTGTTTTAAACAGCTCTGGTCGCCCTGCTGTGTTCAACTGTAATTAGATTAAAAAGAGGCAGATCTGTGTGTGTGTGTGTGTGTGTGTTTTATCTTTTATCTACCCACTCCAGGAACCTGTGCGTATCGTGTCCCGTGTTCATACATGTGTACGTACGTCAGTGTCTTTCATCTTCTTACTACAGTTTATTTCCTTTTATGGCTGAATCTTTGTCGTGGGGCTGTTTGTGCTCTGAGTGCTGGATCCACTGATTGTTCTCATCATCACTTTATCCATCGTCTGCATTAATTGTTTCGTCTATGAAATGTCAGAAAGTAGTAAAAATTGTCAGATCAGTGACATCATATTCAGCAGAGAAAGAAAAACATTGGCCTCTGCCGCGCCAGATTTTTTAAGAAACAGAAAATGGTGCTCAACAGCTCACCTACATTTTTTTATTCTCCTCCATTCAATCATATATTAAGGTGAGCAGTATTTCAGGTTGTGTTGTTATAGTAATTTGTTCCTCATTGCTCATACTATAGTTATGCAAATCACCCACGCCCATTGTCGTTGTACATGTAGTACTGCTACAACACAGAGATGCCACTCGTATGGACAATGCCTCGACCGGATCAACCGCATATTTACTGTCAGTGATCTGTGTAATGAAAGTAAAGAGAGAGCTGGAAACTATTTTTAAGAAAAGATGAAATGCGCTCTCATCAGGCTGTTTGCTTTCTCAAAGTGCCATCAAAGTGTTCAAACGTCTAGCGGAGATTGTCGAGGCTTTTAGAAGACAATAGAAACCAGAGGGGTTTTTGATGCTCACTGATGTCAGAGCCTCTTCCCAGAACCAAGCGTGTACTCAGTGAACCAGAAATAGAGGTTTTAATATTAGAAACCAGTTAATATACAAACAAACCAAACAACAGAAGCACACATTTACTTCCCCGCCTGTGACCACTCCCATAACACCGAACCTGGGAGGGACAGCAGGACTCAGGATGTGAATGAACGTCCTGCCAGATGGAACAATAAACGCGGTTGAAGCAGGGATGAAACTTATCTTAAAAACAATACACCCATGGCGGAAGTTTTGACGCCGTCATCAATGACTCACTGCAAACATTACAGTACGTCCACCCGCCAATGTTAACATTTGATGTTGTGGTTCAGCCCATTGAAGGAAAGGAGGGGGAAATTTTAAAAAAGGGGATTTTTACGTCATCACTGTTGTCGGTTTGACTTCAAAAAGTGTGTTTTAAAGATTGTCTGTTTTTTCCACAGTGGTCGTGCACTTTTAAAATGATGCAACAGTTTCTAACAGATTTCCATGGCCTCTCAAAGCCTTCAGCACACACACACACCCACAGGAACCTCACGTGAGGAAAAAGAAAAACCTCCCACTGCAGCGTGTGTACCTTACATCGCCCTTTATCCAACAAGAAGATAAAAGCTGCATTATTTTACAATCTGGTGCCACTGATCACGTCTAACCACCGGCCATTTCTTCTCAACAAAGACTTTTAGTTACTCTCGTCCTCTGCCAGCCGTCATGTGCCCGGCAGTCTTACTCTTGACTGTCACAAGAGATGTGCCCCCCTGTGTTTTATCACACCACACTATTATAGCCTGTCTTAATGTTAGTCATTTGCCCTGAAACCTTAGTTCTAGAGAGGAATGTCGTCTCTGCAGAGCCTCAAAGTGATCCCACTGTAATTTAGATAATTTTAGACTTCAGTATATTTCCTGGTTTCCAGAATTATTTGATTGCACCACACACCAGGGGGGAGGCACTAGGTGGAGCACACAGATGCAGCTCAGCACATGAGTGTGTAGTAATTTCAGTGTGTGTGTGTGTGTGTGTGTGAGGGAGATTATGAGACAGATACTGTTAGAGAGCTTTTATGCAAATGTGTCACCATTGGGGGAACGTTATGTGGAAGTATAGTTAGAGTTTAGGAAGCTGCTGTGTGAGTTTGAATGTAGCGCGTGGCAGTCAGAGATGTGAGGGGGTGTGTGTGTGTGTGTGTGTGTGTGTGTGTGATGCCCATGTGCTCGTGGGCTGCATTCAGGAACTGAAATGGTGTCAGCTGCGGCTTGTAGCTGTCTGATGACACAGTTTCCCTTCTTTGCATGTGCTTCCTTTAACTCGCTCTCTGTGTGGTTTTGACTGACAGGAGCCTACCTGGTGCCCTATCTCATCTTGCTGATATTGATCGGCATCCCGCTGTTCTTCCTGGAGCTGGCGGTGGGGCAGCGGATCCGCAGGGGCAGCATCGGGGTGTGGAACTACATCAGCCCTCGGCTGGGGGGCATCGGCTTCGCCAGCTGTGTGGTGAGTGACAGTACAGTCAGGCTCCATCACACAGAAAGGGTTTTGCAGGGTGTAAAATGTGTGGCTTTTTTTTTTTAAAAAAAATTGAATGCCCCTTAAAAAACGCTTGCTGGACCTTTTTATTGTTGCCACCCAACTTTCATATTAAAGTATACCTTGAAACGGGTGTATTGCTGCAGCCCCACTGTGTGTTACGAAATTATACAAACTGTTTGTAACCTGAAACTATTTGTGGCGTCTCTGGTGTCAGTTATAAAGCTTTCTAAGGAAAAATGTGGTGAAACACAGGAAGTGATGTAATTCATGTTTCCAGCAGTGGCTTTAAGTCAGCAGCACAAATGAATGAAAAACATGATGATATTTATCTAAAGATGGCTGAAAAGGAATTTGTGGCTTCGTACTCAGAAAATAAAGACTCCTCTTGCAATAAGAAAAAGAGACGTCAGTGTACTGAACACATGTAGAACAATGTTTGTCACTATTCTGATGATTCAAACATCTTCATCACATCATTTGTGGTTTTGTGCGTCCAATCTTAACTCCCCTCTCTTCGCTGCAGGTATGCTTCTTCGTGGCTCTCTACTACAATGTCATCATCAGCTGGAGTCTCTTCTATTTCTCCCAGTCCTTCCAGCAGCCTCTGCCGTGGCACGAGTGTCCACTCGTCAAGAACAAGACCAGTACATGTGAGACACAGTCAGACATGTTAGGACCAGATTCACTCAGTACGATTACCTGCACAGTTGACCTATTACGTCACAGACCAAACAATGGACAAACAAGTTAGCTATGGTTAGCTAGCAGCTAACTGGTACCATGGTGGACAACTTTACAGCTCTGTACATTTGGTCCGTCCAAAAAGTCACAGCTCTGGATGTAGATTTCTCCATGTTGTTACCGGCTTCTTCTTCTCTTACACATTTAATGCTATTGGACTTCTGGGTCAAAGCCCGGGGCGGAAACTGTGGAGCATGCTCAGAGCGCCTCGGCCAGTTTGGGTCTGATTGACTGTATACATGCAGGAGTCACATGATCTGGATGTGTTAGTCCCACTGTGACAAATTCACTTTAGGACCATTTCACTCACACTAACATGTTTACAATAAATCAATTTTCTCTGATGTCATGTAAACATACTGAGTGACCAGTCAGAAGGCTTTTATAACACTTTTCATCAGAGGTACACATGACATACAGGCTGTAACTTCCTCCGTTTTGTGCGTAGACGTGGTGCCTGAGTGTGAGAAGAGCTCGGCCACCACCTACTACTGGTACCGCGAGGCCCTGAACATCTCTGACAGCATCTCTGAGGGCGGAGGACTCAACTGGAAGATGACCTTGTGCCTGCTGGCTGCCTGGTCCATGGTTTGCCTCGCCATGATCAAGGGGATCCAGTCGTCTGGGAAGGTAAAGAAGAGATTTGGTTCTCTGTTAGCATTTTTAGTTTTGGAGAAAAGATGTTCATGAGAGGAGGAGAACAGAGGGACAGGCTTACTGCAGCTGCCCTGCAATCCCAGCAGCTTGGCCTATATAACTGCTCCAGTATAACTCTTGTACCCTGCAAACTGTGAAACAGTGACAGAAACAAAAGGTCGTTTTCTCGCCCAGTTTTTTTTTTTTTTTTTAAATCCCCTCACACTTAATTAGCTCACTTTAAGGTAGAGGCTTACAGAGTGCTAACTGCACCGATGCCTGGTCTAAAGACGCTGCTGAATGACTACTGTAATGTGACTTGACAAATTTTTCTAATGATACAGTCTTAGATGTGACCCCGAGAGCTCATGTGATCCTGTGTGGGATTTCTGTCTTAATGTACTTTAGCTTAGCAAAGCTGACAGTAGCGTGACTAGCATCCGGAAGGATTAGCCCGCTGGGTAAATGTTGGCGTTTGCTTGAAAACTCACCCCGCTCCTCCTCTTTTCTTTTACAGGTGATCTTTATCATTGCACACCCTCTCATGTCATATGATAAGCATTAGCCGGGGCTCCTCCAAGGTCACGGTCGAGCTTAATTGGAAGAATGGTCGCACTTGTTAATCTTTCCAGAAAAAGCTTTGATGAGGAAGTCATTTGATTTTGGTATTATCCCCACCTCTTATCTCAGGTCTGGGCTCAGATACAACAAAGTATGCGGTCAAAATGAATATACTGTATTTCAGGGATCACATTTTTTTGGCTGCAGTGGAGTAAAGTCTTACAGAACTTAACTCAGTGAAATGAGTCTTTGTAATTGTGCCAACATCAGAGAGAATTAACACCCAGCTCTGCAGCTCCGTTAGGGCTTTTAAGCCTCTTTTAGCTCATTATTTTGGTTTTACAGCACATTTACTGTACGATTCAGTCTCAGCTGCATTCATCGACTAATGTAATGTTTCTACAACAAAGGCTCTGACAGACACACAATACACAACCTGTCCAGCACCAAACAGTGGAGACACAAAGTTAGCAGTGAGCTGGTGGAGACAGTGGAACATGGCTGCCAGATGTTTTTCTCAGGAGCTGGTGGAGACCAAAGCAGAGCTGAAAAGAGTGAACTCAAGTGAACTTTTTAAGCCAGTTGTGGTGGCTGAGTATCTGACAGCTTTTTAATGTTTTCTTGGCCAAAACAAAAGATGCAGCTGATGATATCAAGTGCTGCAGGGATGACGTGTTTTGTCAGACAACCAAGGGATCGTTACCTCACCATTTATTTAAAGGTTCCTCGGGGCTAACCAGGAAGTAAGCATCACACAAGATCATTTTCACAAATGAATGCCATTTTTAGGGTTTTTGGAGCATAAATTCAATCACTAGAAGTAAAACACTAATGTTAGGCTATAAACAAATGACTACAGAGTCACATGACTCAGTGTTGCCACCACAATGAGGCTGTAAAGCCGTTTAGCCACTTGTTAGCAGCTGCCATTTTGAGACATGTAAAAGCTTCTGAATTCGCAGGATGAGTCTTTAAACATTTGAAACTGTTTTACAGAAAGAGAGAAAACAGGGATCTTGATTTAAAAATACTTTGATACTGATTTTTTCTCTTAACATATATTTTGAAAACAGCAAGAGATAGCTACATGATTGATTAACGCAGGGACACAGGATAAAAACTGGGAAAATGTTTTTTTCATGTCATGGGGACTCTAAACTTTGGGTCATAAAAATGTAGGTGAAAGGTATTTTGCAGAGACTAACAGGTCAGAGTGAACGGACCTCTCATTACACTGTAACTCTTTTGTAACGGAGTGGGAAAGACGTCCATCTCCGGCTAAATGAGTTTTCCCACCTTTGATCCAGGCTCTGTCCTCAGCTCAGGTCTTATCCAGGCAGCTGTCTGCTGTTTACTTGGCACCACCGAGCCCTCGTCTTTTGCGTCACGTTCACCACAACAGCAGCAGACAAAACAACAGAGGTGCTTTAATCTCAGAATGTGCCGTGATGGTTTTGCGGTAGGAGACAGTATCATTTCCCCCCCGACTGCTACATCCTGCTACCTGGCAAGAAATGTCACAGATAACCACAATCATTGTCACAATCTATCCTGACTGCCGCTCTGTCAGAGGAGCTAGATAATGTTCAAGTCCTTCACTGCCGTCGGAAAATACGATGAACTGCTAAAATAAAGATATACAGTGTTTATTTAATGTAAAAAAGAAATAATGGTTAATTTTTGTAAAGCTCCAAACAGAAGCAGCCGAGCTGCTGGTTAATTGTACAGTTTGAGCCAGATGGTCGTTCTCCAACTACCTGGTGTGTCTGGATGGCCTTTTCAGTTGGCCACAGTAGAAATGGGCCTGAACTTTCCCTCGCAGGGGCCGGCTGGAAAGTGTCTTTGAAGTTTAATCAGTGCTGTGCGGCACAAAAGAATATTAATGCCCTCTCTCCACACATGTTCACAAAAGCCTTTTCCAAGGAATATCCCTGCTGCCATCTGCATTTCTCTCCTGTTCAGTGTGTGTGGGTGGGCGTGAAAGGGATCAGGACGTTTTTGGTTGCCATGGTTATACGCGCTCTTTCGGCTTGGCTTGATTGTCAAGAGTGTGGCCAAAAAAAAAAGAAAAGAAAGAAAGAGAACGGGGAGGCACGATTGGCTCATGATGGGCAGAGAAGGGGTCTGTCATTTGGTAAAATTATAGTGAAATTAATCAAAAGTGTTTGAAAGTAGCTGAACAACATTCATAGTAACCAACTACTGTATATGCCAAATAATATAATGAATAATGTAATGTTTCAGATGTAAAATAACATTTAAATTACATCTTATTATTAAGGAGAGAAAGTGTGAAAACATATTTTTTAATGATTTGTAATTAATAATTAACTTTATTTTAATTTAGAAAAATAACATTGATTTTATCATCCCAGTAGGCTGCCAAAAGTTAAATTTATATTTGTGAAATTTATAATTTATATAAAAAACACGATACTTGACATCCGTGTATCGATGCGTATTACAACACAAAAATATTGCAATACGTTAATGTATGGATCGAATGATTAAGTTAACAATATTACCCTATCCACCTGGGTGTCTCCCCTCAAGGATGCTAACACGTCTGTCGTTCATCGTGTGAACACCTGTCCTGTAGAATCAGTTTATAAAGATAACGGCGCCGTTCTCAGAACATGACCTTTGGGAGAAGCACGTACTATCTGCCATGTCACAAAACCTTTCATAATACAAGTCTCCGTTTTGATAGAACATAGTAGTGAGATTACAAAGGAGCAGATATCTGCTTATCACACAAAATGTTTAGCTTTGTGCTGACCAAGGCCACGACGGTGCAGCGCTGGGAGGGTTTTATCAGAGAAGAAAAGCTGACAAGCTGCAGCTGTCAAAGCCTCAGAGAAGAAATGCACTTTGGTTCTGACATTTGACTTTATATTTAGGGATTTATGTTGGTTTCTGTGTCCATTTCCTTGGGTTTCACAATTAATGACCAACTTTGTATCTGTGATGTCGTCAAGAAATCAAGTTTAAAGCCTTTTCTTTGACAATGAAAAGGAAAAACTTTGTGGTTAGGGACTGTTCTTTATTTATCAGAGGAGGGGGGTTGCTGGGGAATGACTTAATTGTCCCTTCTCAAAGCTACAGATATTTTTCCTTGAGCCTCCCTGAGTAACTGGTGGAAAATCCATGACCCTCCCTCCACCATAAGCTAGATTTGTATAACTTCCTGTTTGAAGTTTGAAAATTAAAAGTTGAAGATGAAATCCTGGAGTTGAAAAAAAGCCTTGATTTTTTACTCTTGTCTGATTAGTTCGTGCAAATGGTTTATTTTTGGACAAATTATAAATGTAGAATAAAGTGATTTTGATGATATTTTACTATTTAAAGCTCACATATTTTTTTTTTCTGACAGAAGCGTTCATCACACATGTGTCAAAGGACTGTTGGAAATTTGAAAATCCAACTATATATATATTTTTTACAGTTTCTGGCTGTGATTAATGGCACCATTTTGGCAATTTGTACATAAGACATGATTTTTAAAGACAACTTGCATGTTTTCTTTAACAATCTGGGGTAAAGTCAATATAAAATACAACAGTTTAAAGTTATATGCCCCGCCCCTCAGCCTAAATAAAAAACATAAGTCCCTCCCTAGGGCTTAAAAAATTATTTGACATGCCTCCCCCTTTCTTCACCATCCCTTCCACCTCATAGATAACGAACAGTCCCGTAGGCTACTACACAACAGGGAAGTCCCCAGTATGACTTCCTGTGGGGGTAGAAGCTGTTTAGGTTTAAAAACTGTCCATTATCAGAGAACAAGCTGGAGGACAAACATAAACTCCCGAGTACTGCAACAATCCCTCATGTGTCGGAGACTCACAGCTTGTTTTTGCCTCTGATCACGAAGAGAAAATCACCACACTCCCTGCCTGAACTTTCAGGTATCTGAATGAATCCTGCTTTAGGTTGAATCATCCTTTTCCCTGTAAGCCAATACGTAACACAGTCTCCCTCAGAGCTACATATGGACCACCATGTAGGAGACGCAGTGTCTCTGAATCACCAACTCTGCCTATGACTCAACCTTAAACCATCTCCCAGTGCTTGCACCCACACCCACTGCCAGTACAGTAAACCCACGTGTCACAGCGTAGCGGTTGAGTCAGGCCTCTCAGTCTTTAAGTACCTTCACCTAGTCTACACAGAGACGGAGGGAAAAAAAAAAAGACGAGAAGCCCGCTGTCTAATTAGCAGGATAATTGGACAAAGGGTCTTATAAAGGCTCAGCAGCTACCAGCTCTGCCTGGAACCCTGCTGGTGTCGCTTACACAACTTTCACGGTACATTAAGTCATCACCACTCATACATGCAATGTTATTACCTCAGATACATAAAGCAAAAGTTTAAAAAAAATGTGTCCAACTTTTAACAGAAATAAGAAACAAAAGAGAAAAAACTAAAGTTTACTTTCTCCTGTAATGAAATACCATCAACTTAAAAACTCTCTTTTCTAAACAATTTCATGACGAGTTATGACGAGTTCACACATGTATTTTCACAGTCAAGAAACACACACACACTTCTGACAGGAACTGAACAGCCGTTATTTTCTCTTCATCACCACATTTTTGAACGCGACTCAGTAATTTAGAAACTCAGGATAACTGGCACTGAGCGACACGTGATTCACATCAGAAGTGGTCGACTGAAGTCTGTACTGAGAGGTACAACATAATCTGACTGATCTTGAAACTAGTTTATTGGCATCAGCAAAAAAACCCAAAACAACTGAATTTAAATGCAGCTTAGTTTGATTTTTTTCAACAGATTGTGTTTAACACATTTGTCCTTATTTTTAAAAGTTCACCTCTAATTACCGTTTCAATTATGCATCAGTTGCTTGTAATAGTTTCGTGTCTTCTAAGACTCAGAGGAGGCGTAAAATAAAATATGCAGAGTGACTTAATTGTGTGAGGTGAACACTTAATAAGAGCGAGCTCAAAGTCCAGGTCACACAGATTAAAATGAACTAGTTCATGTTCATAATTCACAATTTGAATTTTGAACTTAAATTCACTGTCACAAAAAAATTATTTAGTTTATGATCACATTTTCCATTGTTTTAAATAAACTGAATCTTGTGCTCATTAACTTGCAAATATTTCTAAGGACTGAACGGATGCTTTAACTCGATTTGTCATTTTAAAGTTGTTGCAGATGTCGCTGATGTGTGGACGTGCACAACTTGCACGTAAATGTGAGATTTTGTACAAATCTGAACTGATTTGTTCATAAAAGTCCTTCAAATAATATCCATATGAACTGGCTTCAGCAGTCGCTGAAGTCGCCATTAACACGCTCCGTTTGTGTGTTCATGCACAGCACTGAGTCGGATGGCAGAGGTTTGATGTCTTCTAACAGGTTGTTTTGTTTGCCTGCAGGTGATGTACTTCAGCTCCCTGTTCCCGTACGTCGTGTTGATTTGCTTCCTGGTTCGGGCTCTGCTCCTGAAGGGCTCTTTGGACGGGATTCGACACATGTTCACACCCAAGGTAATGCAGGTTTCATGCAAACGTTTCTCTAAACTGTGAAGGTACAAGTTCAGAGAGTCAAGGAAAAAGTCTCTGTGAGATACTCAGCCACAGGAGGGAGATCCTGATTGCAGGGCTCAAACAATTATTTTCTTTGTAGATTAATCTGCTGATTTTTTGGTCTATAAAAGGTCAGGAAAAAATTAAGGTGACACCTTCAAATGTCTTGTTTTGTTTAAACAGTCCAAAATCTAAAGATGTTCAGTTCACTGCCATTTATGACAAGAAAAAAGCATCAAACTTAACATTTGAAAAGCTGTAACAATAGATGTGACTGATTTCTGCTTGAGCAATAACTAAAATGATATATCGACTATCAGCGATCGATAAATTGTCTCAGCTCTGCTACATGTCGACACACTGCTGTTATTTCCTCTCCTTAATACTGAACATTAAGAGTGAACATCAAGCAGCTGCTGTTGAATCCACTCACTGTTTACAAAAAAAAAAAAGGTGTCTGAACTCAAAATTTAAATCTACGCTGTAATAGGCCGGCTCCTCGGCAGCAACAGGCCAATGGCACCTCGGGCTGTGGAATCATGTCGCCATGGAAACAGGAGTTACCGAGGCTTTATGTAACCAAGCAGCAGGAGAGGCTCGCTCACAGCACTCTGTCTGTCTCGTGTCTGCTCAGTGTCCTCGGCTGACATCTTACAGCTTCAAACATTGCATCCTGCCTCCATCTTCTGTGTACCTGCGGACATCAAAGTCCTGCTGCGTGTGTGTTTTGCTCTGCGCTCACAACAGTTTGAGACCTTTGTGATAGAAAACTGCACTGTGGAAACTGTCAGGATGCCAGGTGTCATCTGGTGAGAGGGTACACTGAGAGTCTGTCAAAGACAAACAGAAGAACATGTTACTGTTGTCAACTTTTAAATGAGGACCAAAATTTAAACTTTTAAAGTTTTGGCTTTACCTTTATTGTCACTAGAACATTTTTATCTTGGAGTCAGGTGAAGCTCAAAACACACAGGCTTAGCATAAAGCATATGTATATGTGAAACATGTTCAAAATTCCCCACACCAGCTCAAATAAAACATCCAGCCATTGTTGCCCCACCTACAGCCGAACAACTGTTGCTCAAAATTCAATATATCTAAGTTGGAAAAAGCAGCTTTTGACAACAGTGTTAATTTGTTTGGCAAATTTTAATTAATTTTTATCAAAGATGACACCAAGATTTCTGGCCTGGGCATCAAGGGTTTGGCGCCAGGGGCCCTAGGTGGTTTGCTATACCCCTGATGGAGTTGGAGGGGCCAATTAAAACCACCTCTGCCTTACTATCATTTAACTGAAGACAGTTTTTTGGCATCCAAGAGTTCACATCTTGGAGGCCGTCCAAGAGGGGCCCAACTGTGTTGTTACTGTTATCACCTGATTCTAATGGGAGGTAAAGCTGAGTATCTTCTGTATAGCAGTGTTAGGTGATGTTGTATTGCATGGAAGATGGAGCCTAAAGGGAGCAAAAAAAGAGCAAAGAAGATGGGTCCCAAGAGGGAGCCCTGGGGTGCACTACAGGTGATGGGAGTAGAGGAGGAGAACAGGCTTCCAGTTTGGACAGAGAACATTCCAACTGTAAGGACCAGACCATCGGAGGGCGCTACCCTGGGAATGGACCTGGCGCGCAAGATGGCTCAGGAGAACAGAATGGTCAACTATGTCAAGAGCTGAGCTAGTCTAAATGAATGAGCATGGCACATTTACCAGAGTCAAGGGACAGCAGATCATTAGATACTTTAAGTAGAGCTGACTCCGTGCTGTGGCGTGCCCTGAAACCTGGTCATGTGATATAGTGATAAAGTATTCAGTCAGTGTCATAAAATGTTGATCTTGTTTTAAAGAAATTCCTGTGTAAGAAAATAACAGTGTTCACAGATTTGCAGATTTGTTTCCATCCTGAAAACAGTCACCTATATAAACAGATATGACCGTATTCTTTCAGTGACAATCCTAAATGTAGACTGTTTCCAAACTAAGCCGAACTCTGCCTGTGTTGTTTTTTAGTTGGAGATCATGTTGGAGGCCAAGGTGTGGCGAGAGGCGGCCACGCAGGTCTTCTTCGCCCTGGGCCTCGGCTTCGGCGGCGTCATCGCCTTCTCCAGCTACAACAAGCGGGACAACAACTGCCACTTCGATGCCGTCTTGGTGTCTTTTATCAACTTCTTCACCTCCGTGTTGGCCACCCTGGTGGTGTTCGCAGTGCTGGGCTTCAAAGCAAACATCATGAACAGCAAGTGTGTCGCACTGTGAGTAGCTTCGTCTCACATTCATGTATTTATAGACTGAAACTGCATTTCCTGCAGACCATCAAAGAGCTGATGTACAAGACGTTCAGGTGTGAATGTGACTCACAGTGAAATGGTGATTGTGGCTTTTTGAAAGGCGAAGCAGCTCTGTTTTTTTTTTTTGTTCTTTAGACACTGAAAAGCAGAAAAGGAAACAGTTTAGGGGAAACAGCTTAGGAAAAAAGCTCCTGCAGAGTGTGTTCCAATAATGTTTCAGACTTTTAGACAACTTAACAGTCTCTGTACGTGTTTTCTCTTTGGTATTTTAAAGTATGAAGGTCAACCCACCATTTGCTAAAGCTCGCCCCCAAAAAGTGATTACCCAATCATAACATAGCAGCCATAACTAGGCACAGCCACAGGTCTGTTAGTCAGCAATACTCTGCATCGAAGACTGGATTTTTAACTTTTCCAAAAACACAGCAACAAAAGTTGACTGTATTAAATGGTGTGTTTACCTGCCCAAACAGGAGCTGCAATTGTTCTGCTACTTAGCTGAAGAACTGTATAAAAGAAGATCGATGTAACCTTACCCATTAGAAACCCGGCATTTTGGCAGTCACCTTCTTGTTTTTTTTGGGCCAGAAGTGACTATATTTGGACAAGAGGTTGGATCATACTAAAAAAATTACACTATTAACATCCAACAACCTCAGTCTATGCTTAACACAGGTTACCAGCCTGACAGTGCCAGGTACCACTAAGGTATTAGGTAACGCTACCCATAAATAGCCTGTTTTCAAAATACACTTCTGTTTTCCCAGGAAATGTACCGTTTCCATACAGTCTCTTTCAAAATAAAAGCACTACGTCGGTACAACACCACCAACTGACGTTTTTTTCCTTCAACAACAAACGCACGGTGTTACGTTGAGCCAACACACACACAGGTGGTTGGGTTTAGGAAGAAAGAACAGGGTTTGGCTTTACAATCTTACAGGAAGGGAACACCGGCCTCCCAGGTGGAAGTAGGTGGTATTTGGTCATTTAACTATCAATAACTTGTCCTGTGTTTTTTTTTTTTGTTGTTGTTTTTTTTTTTTTAGGAACACCCACAAGATAGTGACGTTATTGGGGAATGGCATTGAAGAAAGCCTGATCCCCCACCACATCAACCTCACTCAGGTCAGCCAGGTCAGCACTGAAGACTACCACAAGATGATAGAGATCATCAGAGGGGTGAAGGAGGATGAGTTCGATGCGCTGGGACTGGAACCCTGCAGCATTGAGAACGAGCTCAATAAGGTATGTGCAAAAACTGAAAGTCCTGTAAGTAAAGAAGTCTTAGTTACTTCTTTACTTACATGAATATATCAACACTTCACAACACTGCATTCTGGTAAATTTTATGCACCAATTTATGGTGAAAATGTCCTAAATTTTGTCAAAATAAAAGTCCTGCTACTTTCATGGGGACAAATGCACATGTTGTACATATTAACAGGGACACGTCCCCTGCGTCCCCCTCAAAATCTACACCAATGGAAGAAACTATTCCTTTCACTACATTAAAACAGCGTCGTCATGTCTTACTCACCTCTCCACTGCTTCAACTTGACGACGTTAAGCAGCTCTTAAAATCCAACACTCTGTGTGTTTCACAATAAAAGCTTCCAGGGAAAGGGAGGGGATTGTTGCTGCTGAGCTGCTCACAGGATTTTAATGTGAAACAGACAAAACATGACAGACGATTTTTCATGATACCTACAAAACAGGGGAATTAGAAATAAAGGTTCATGAGGTCACCATCTCAAATAAAATTGGGGTTAAATAAAGTTCCTGGCCACTAATTTTTTTTACCTCCTCTTCTTCCTCCTGTCTCCCCATCAGGCGGTCCAAGGCACAGGCTTGGCCTTCATCGCCTTCACAGAGGCCATGACCCACTTCCCAGCCTCGCCCTTCTGGTCCGTCATGTTCTTCCTCATGCTGGTGAACCTCGGCCTTGGCAGCATGTTCGGCACCATCGAGGGCATCCTCACTCCACTGATAGACACTTTCAAAGTCCGCAAGGAATTTCTTACAGGTTAGAGAGACTTCTCAGTACCTCTCCTTTAAGTCATGCAAAGATCAGATGGACTCTGAAGAGCACACATTTGAAATCTTTCTGTGAAGAGAGATTTACTTTTTATACTTTTTATCAGATTTTTGAACCCTAGCCTGCAATTTGAAGGCATTTTGTAGAGTTCTGTAAAAGGACTGTGATCCCTGTGTGCCAACACATGTCATGAGTGCAGGATTTATGGAGGTGGTAATGGCAGGGAATCTTGCAGACTTGGGTGGATGCAGGGTTGCAAAATGTCCTGTGCAAACTTCTTGTATGTTTAGGTTACTTTAGTTTAATCCCTGGATGTCTGTAGAGTCTGAAGCAGCTCAAATGGACTCCTCAGCTTCTCCAAAGATTAATGCTTTGGTCTAATAACTATTTACACATTAGAAAATGAACAATGAAATGGCATAACAGTGAATCAAACTTCTCATCCATCTCCAGCACTGTGATGTCAGATAAATACCAACAGAAGGAGTTACAACCATAAACAGAAGCTTGTGTTGTGAGAAATGTGTATATCATAATGCAGCGTGTGGGCAGCTTCTTCCTGCTTCCACAGAAATTCCTTGAATAAAAAGCTGAGACAGTCTGACAGTCGTCCAACATACCTTTACTCTGCACTCAGAGACTAAAAAAGGATAACATTTCCAAACTGAGCTTTTCCCACAGAGAGAGGAGGAGATGAAAAGAAATATCTTAGAGAATGATCACAGAAAAGCTGAACCAAACTTGATTAATGATTTCTCAGTGGCGGCTGCACACTACAGTGAACAGATGTGGGCCATCCTGCTGCTCCTTTGACTCAAACTGCTTTAAATGGGTCCCGCTCCACTTACATATGATCCATTTAGCTCCGTTTATCTCGACTCTTCTTATACCAGTTTGAGTGTACACGGGGGGATAGTGGCAATAATTCATGGCGCAGGTTTGCTGTTCATAAAGCAGTGCCTTTTACGTATGAAAATAATGTGAGTTGAAACGATGTCAGTAAGTTCACCTCATGCATCTGTCAGCTCGTACAGTAACCGACTCTCTGCTCCTCTCCTGCAGTGGGCTGCTGCGTGTTGGCCTTCTCCATCGGTCTCCTGTTTGTTCAGCGCTCAGGGAACTACTTTGTGGCCATGTTCGACGACTACTCGGCTACTCTGCCTCTGCTCATAGTGGTCATACTGGAGAACGTGGCAGTCGCCTGGGTCTATGGGATTGACAAGTAAGTACAGGGTGGGAATCACCAGAGGATCCACGATATGATATTATCACGATAATGCTAAGGCGATTTTAAATATGTTGCGATACGCTGAGTATTGTGACAAAATATGTTCTGATTTATGACCTTTTTTCAACTGTAAATTTTGTCCCCAAAAGAAAACTGTTTCATCTAACATGATAAAGTTTTTAGTCTGTTCATCTCACTGCAGTCATTTTTTGCAGCAGCAGCAGCAGTAAAATGTGTGTAATGGACTAAAAAAGCAACTGATTAAATTATTCTAGTAGGCTACCTAAAGTTTAAATTGTATTTGTCATATTAATAATTTATATAATAAAAAAAAAATTGATACTTGGCACTGTGTGACGATACGATACTGCCGCACAAAAATATCATAATACTTTGCTGTATCGATTTTTCCCCCCACCCCCTGGTGTCCACATGTAACCGACAGCTTTTCAAGGAATTTTAAAACTAAATTTAAGACTGATTTTTTCGGCAAATAATATCAAATGTAGTCCCGTGCAAAGGCAGTTTAAATCAAATCTGTTTAAATCAACTTCACCTTTTATAATTTGTGATTTAGTTTGATTATTTGGAAAATGAACCCTTCAGACACAGCAGCTTCATTTCTGCAGTTTAGATTTAAATATTTCAGTCAAACAATAATAAAAACCTAAAGTTATATATTTATATAGTCTGTAAATGTTAGTCTGTTCTCATGGCAGGTTTTGTTCCCTTATTTCCACATGCTGTGAGTGATTCCTGTGAGAACAAGCTGTCACTGACCGTGGTGACTTTAGGAGGTTAAAAACAAACCCTTTGTTTGCCAAATACTATATCTGGATCACTATTTTTGGAACCATATAAACAGCATGTAAAGGCCATCAGGTTTATGAAGCACTTATATCATGAGACCATTGTGAATTCTTTACCACAAAGTTATGATCTCACCTCCCGTGGCGTCGCTCTCTTTTCTCTCAGGTTCTTTGAAGACCTGAAGGACATGCTGGGCTTTACGCCGTACCGCTTCTACTACTACATGTGGAAGTACATCACACCCATCCTGCTGCTGGTCCTCCTGTGCGCCAGCTTCATCCAGATGACCATGACGCCGCCCAGCTACAGTGCCTGGATACAGGAAGAGGTGAGTCAACGTCTCCGGCTCGTCTCCCCTGGGACGAAGGTTCAATGGGGGTGGAAGTTCTCCCAAACCTGGAACAAGTAAAAAGCAAATTAAAGAGTTCAAAGTAAACGAGGCAGGAGCTGAAAAAGAGGGGAAAGGCAAAGGTTTTACATGTTTAGGCGCTCTTAAACTCTGAGACAATCAACAGGATGTGCAGTCCACCACAGAGACATTCAAGCACCTGTTTGATCACATCAAGAGAAAACCAGTCGTTTTAAAAGCTTCAAGGACAAATGGGACAAAGTGTCCCTGAATGGACTCCTTAATTTGTCCAGTGAGACCAACACACCTCAGCTCACTAAAGCAGCTAATTAGTTTCACCTGCAGCTGAACTGACTCAGGGACATGGATTTACCTGACCTGAGTGAGCAGTGATTGGTCATCATTTTGTCTGAAATGCAGACTCTTAATGCATTTAAGCAGATCTCAGGGATGACGTTAATAAACTGATCAGGACATGAACTGTGACACAGCCTGGACGGCTTCTAAAGGAAAAACCTGAGCCAGTGTTTCTGTCAGTGAAAGCAGGGGTAGGAAGAAATCTCCTCTCCCCTCTCTGTCTTAAGCCCCCCCAGATGACCACAGGCATGCACATGCTTCATACAGTATCCCAGTGTTTCTGTACATTGGTTTATTATTTTTTTATTGTAGAGCAACCAGCACATTCGCCTCTCCTCTCCTCACCCGCTCTTTTTGTTTATCAGACCACAAATGAGACAAGCATTAGCTGCTAGCCACCTCACGCTCCCTCGGCCTCGCTCACCGGAGAGCAGGCAGCAGATCCTGGGAGAGATCTTCGGTCGGCTGCTGTAGCAGATGACGTTTGGCCTTTGCAAACCCCCCAGTGCCGGGTCTAACCTGTGTAATGGCAGCAACAGAAAGTTTGCTGATCCACCGGAAGGTCGGGGCTGTCTGGTGCCCCCAAGCTGGGGTTTGCATTGGCTGCATACAGGTTGCTACTCGCTCACCTCCCAGCAAGGTGGTCTGTGGCGGCGGAGAGTGAGGTGGAGGACACGCTGTGGTTCGAGGCTCTTGCTAACGTTATGTGGCGAGGTGGAGGTGAAAGGCTATAAAGCCAATACTGTTACCAAGAAAAGGGCTCGACAACGCCACCCTGGGAATTTCACCCAGGGAATTACTTCTTCAATACAAGACACACAGGTTCATTTACTCAAAGGGGCATGAGACGTGGTTCCAAGTTTAAAAAAAAAAGACTTTTTATTAAATCATTTTTCTTTTAAAAAACGTTCACACAGGGAGGGGGAAAGAACCTAATCAGGGCTGAGGCCTAGTGAGTGGACAAGAACTAGTGAAGGGGAAGGATCCACCAAAAAAAAAGAGAAACCAACTTAAATCACCAGGCACACGTGGCAGACACACTCAGTGAAGCAACCCACTCCCAGGAACACAGCGGACAAGACGGAAGGATGGATACCACCACCAAACACCAGCACCGCCACCACCGGCCTCCAGCAACTGAAAAGGAGAATGATAAAACAAATTAGTGGGGTTGCAATGAAACAAACAAAATCAATAAATCAAAATTTAACAAAAATTGTAATTAATGGGCAGATCACAAGTCTAAACTTAACAAAATGTAACAACTAATAACTGCCCAATTGAAATACTCAAATATAGACAAAGCAAAAAAGAAATTAAGGCTAAATAAAGAAAACAAACCCCAAACAATTATCCAATTACATATACAAAATCTCTCAAATTAACCTAATTAACAAATAAATTATACAAACAAACAAAATCAGGTTCAACCCAAACAATATAAAAATAAACAAGCTAATAGAATATATCCCACACTCTCACACACTCATTCACTCAAAATGCGGGGGACCAAACCCCGGTTAAAAATAATGTCTCAGCCCGCGACGGGCGGACGAGCAACCGTCCTGCTCCGGACGTGAAACAGCAACAGTGCCTATGGCGGAAGCAGAGCTGCGGAGCGGCCTACAGGGCCGCAGCGTGCCACCGTGCCGTGACGACAAGCAGCAGCAGAGACAAACGGCAGACGTGATGGAGGCAAGCCGGAGACACAACAGGAGACAAAGCAGCAGCGGAGACAAAACAGCAGCGGCCCGATAAGCTGGTTACAGTTAGCACCTAACCAAGAAAAATGCTATTAGCATGGCTAAATACACTGAACATGATGCGGTGCGTGCTACAATACACATAACATACCTTTTCAGCAGCGCGGGCACACACACACTCACACGAGAGGAGGGAGGGGGAGAGAGGGCTCCATGCAGCCACCAGCGTTTACCTGCGACCACACTAGCATTAGCCACCTGATAGCATCAACTATACTACAAAGAGAGGACACTTACCACAGCCAACAAACGCAGCAGCGCATACAGGGGGGCCAGAGCAGCACACAGGCAGTCGCCCTACAACACAACACCAATGCCTTAAGCACGTGGGCAAACAAACGACCAGCGAGGTGAAGCAGGGTGCAGACATACCTGTCGGACCAGACGACCTCCGACCCGGAGGTGACGCAGAGGCGACGATAGGCGCGCAAAGGAAGAACCAGTGGGAGGACTGCCGCTTTTATACCGGCCCACCTCATTAGCGGCCCAGCGGCGCACATTGTAAACAATGACAATAAGCACCTCTATGCTGCTACAGTTAGCTAGATGAACATGAAGCTGTGAGCCTTTAGCTCCTGTTACGAGAAGGCTAAACTATTAGCAACATTTTCTCTTCATCTCTGAAACACTTCACTGAGATTGAGACATATTTTGTTTCATTTATTGTCAGACTGTTTGATCAGTCCGTCTTTCTTTTTTGGGTTGCTTAGTGGTGCAGACAGTTGTTGCCGATGCTGAAGTAGCAACTTTCTCTGCAGGATTCTCTGACATTAAATCAGCCATTCATCATCTGAACAGCCAATAGGAACATCCCTCCCTCTGAAAGACCTGTGATTGGACAAAGTTTCCAGTCACAGACTAGATTTACTAAAGCCTGAAAACAGAACCAAGAAACAAAAAAGTAACATTTCATCTTCTGACACCAGTTACCAACTTGCTGTTTGTCTCCTGTCTGTCCTCCAGGCCAAAGAGCAGAGCTTGCGTTTCCCTGCGTGGGGCATCGTGGTCTGCATCTCCCTGGTGGTGGTGGCCATCTTGCCAGTGCCCATTGTCTTTGCCCTGCGCTACTTCAACATCATCGACGAGAACACTACCGGCATCTCTACAGTCTCCTACAAGAAGGGCCGCATCATCAAGGAGACCGCCCGGCCGGGCGAGGACGACGACACCAGCCTGATCCAAGGCAAGTCGCCCAGCGAGGCGCCCTCGCCGATGCCTGGCAACAGCATCTACCGCAAGCAGAGCGGCAGCGGTGGCCCTGATGCAGACACCGCACCCAATGGCCGTTACGGTATCGGTTACTTGATGGCCGACATGCCGGACATGCCCGAGTCGGACTTATAGACTGACTTTAGTAAGCCCTGCCCGGCCGTCCCGGCTGGCCACTCCTCCCCTCCACCCCTCTGCGTGCGTTTAGTTGGCCGTATCATACATGTATATTTCAATTGTACTGTATATTCTTTGTAGATATCGTAGCTGCTCTCTTATTTGTCGTCTCTGAACCTTACATGACTGTCCACCTTTAAAAAAATAAGGTGTGGGAATAAATGTCATCCTCGTCTTACCCTTCACCCATTCGCTTGGCTGCGTCCCAAACTCATCTCTGGCCCCCGCTCCCTTCCTTTGCTGCCTCCTCCTTGTAGATGCTGCAGGAGACTATGTGTGTAAGCAATAAGGTGGACGCTCCACCAGGCCTACTTGAACAAGAATCTGCAAAGAGGAGTCTGCAGAGGAGCGAGTTGAGGGGTCAGGAGGTCACCTTGGGACCGCACCTGTGTCTGTGGGCTGTGTAAATCAAGCCAGCTTCAAGTCCTGCTGTAAAAAATGGTCATGTACATTATGATCCCAAACTGCTGGCCAACAAGTCGTGAGTGTAGTAGCAGTTTAGCCGCTCTGGGAGGCGTAACGATGCAAGACGCAGCAGGTCCTTCCTGCTGAAAGTTCAGGTCAACCCAGTTCAAACAGCGAGAGGATGGCCTTTGAAAACCACTCCCATGATTGTTTGAGACTAAAGTGTGCCTAAGTAATTTATATTTGTTTATAGAATACATGATGGACGTTGTATATTTAAGGTATTCTGTAAATATAATATAAATATTATAAATATATTTATCTTGATAGTTTGGATATCAGAACACCATGTTTTTAAGGTTCAGAAGTACTTCAAATCCTTAACCTTTGTGTCTTTGTTTTTTACTAATGTGCTGTCAATGTTTGTGAGGACCAAGTCCTCCCTGTAAATATTTTTTTTTTCCATGAAATGGCTTCAAATGCATCTTTTTTTCCCCGTCAAAATTAAAGATCAAATATGGCCCATACCCTGAAACTCGTGTGATTTTTTGTCTTACAAATTTTAGGTGGTTGCCAAAACACGTCACTATTGGAAAATATATCTTAAAGGTCCACTGTGTCAGATTCAGGAGGATTTAGTGTCATCTATCAGTGAGGATTACAGATTACAACCAGCTAAAACTGCTCCTGGTTGGAATTCCCTTAGCGTTCATTGTTCATGAGCTGAGTTTTGTGTTACAAATCGGTGTTTCTCCAATGCAGTTTTGTACGTTGTGGACAGGCTGCTCTTGTAAAGATAAAAGTTATTCACAAAGCATCTTAGCCCTTACGATAGCGATAGCTTCCTAACCTCCTAAGATGATAAAATGTTAGAAGTAGAGAGAAGGACTTTTAAGGGGCTTAATTGTTTTTTAAGCAGAGGAGAAAATGCTGGCAACATGGCAGGGAGAACGTTTGTGGTCAATCTTATTGCGAATATGTTTCCCACTCAAGGCAGTAACACTACAATGCCAGAAATAAAATAATCTAACTCTAAGATAACTGGAAAACTGGAAAAATGCATCAGAGCAGCAGTGATGAGTTGAGTCTGTCTCCACCATCCAACAGCATTGATCACACTAACAATGACAACACTTTCACAGTCAGCAGTTCAGGGGTGTGTCTCTGACAACCAATCACATCTGTTAAAACAATGTGTCACACCTAGCAACAGGGTCGACCACAACTCCTCACTGAGGTCAAAGTTTCTGTCCCTTCCTCGCTCAGAGTTGCTGAACTTTCCTAAATCACTCCTAAGCTCAGACTCCTTACTGACAGTTTTTAGTCTCAGTTAGGAGCTCTCAGTGTGTCTGTGAATACGGCCCCTGATGATTTAAACCAAGAAAACTCTGAATAAAGCTGTTTCACTTGAAAAACAAAAGCGTTTTTCTGACGCTCTCCCCTTTACGGAGGAGCTGCTAACTATGGCGGCTGACATGAAAACATGAATGACCTTATCTGGAGCCAGTCAGTGCTTCACAAAGTCAAGGATGCTTCCTTGGTAGGACAGGTTCTTCCAAGTTGGGTCCAAGACTCCTTCCTAGCATTTGGTGAACACACGCTGGAATAGGCCGTTTATGGATCCTTCACTGACTTTGAGAAGCACCAAGTGGTTTTTGTCTGTTCTGGGCTACTGTAGAAACATGGCGCTCTCTGTAGATGGGGACTATATGTAGATATAAACGTGAGGAAAACACAACGGTTCTAATTTTCAGCTGATTATGCACTAAAGAAAACTCACTGATTATATTAGACTCCATTTCTACCAATATATCCCCCTGAATCCTGCACACTGGAGCTTTAATGTAAGAAACACAAATACCACAATATCAAACATGCAATATCCAACATAAATACAAAATGCTTTGTGTAAAGAAATCTGTGGGAAAAAAGGAGAAGCAGAAACAAAACAGCAAATTGTATTAAAAAATCGAATAACTGAAACTCTAATTCAAGTATTCAAAATTAAAAAAACAAAACAAAATGACACTTCTTCCTGTCCCCCGTGTTCTTTGGTAAAATGATCCTCTGACAACAACATCAGCAGCAAGCCGCCATCACAGTTCATAAACCAGCATTTACTGACAGTTTGACACCATCACAAACCACTTCAGGAAACATGACATAAAACCTTGTACAAAGCCGGCAGATGTCTGAGACGTCCTGTGTTCGGTTTACTGACGTGGAGTGAATGAGCTCACAGGTAAACACACACACACACACACATAAACACAGACATGAGAATAAATAACCAAGTATACACTTTAAAAAATGTTTTGTTCCTTTGGCTTTCTCTGCAGTGTCAGTTTCTTTTTTAATAAAATCATAATACAGGTAAACAAACATGTCAGTTCATGCGGAGCGTCCTGGACATGTGCGCTGCTCTCGGCTCTGATAACAGCACAAATCACACCATCTGTGTCCCTTTTAGAAAAATGTCTCCTCACAAATTACAGAGATTGTCCTCTTAGTTCATGTGCATCCTGATTGTTTTTATTTTCCTTTGATTGATTCATTGCATCGCGTCCCCTGCTCATCGTCAGTTCTTCATCAGTGCACTTGGATTAAAGTATGGCTGTCAGAAAATGAGGTAAACATCTCCTTTAACGTGTTCTGCTGACACATCTATCCACCGGAGAGTTGATCCCTTTTCCACCAACACTCTGTGAACAAAAGATAAAACAAAATTACTGCCAATACCACAAATACTACTGCTGCACATGGTGAGGGCAAGATGGTGGAAATTATTATCGTATTATTTTTCTGGATATTGGTGTGAACTACAATGTGGCATATGCATGCAAAATTAAATACACACCAAAAACATTAAAGCAGCTAAAAGGTGTTTTCAACATGTTGTGAAATAGGGCTGCTCCACTCATACAATATCTGCATTTGATCCTTTTCACACCAGGTGTCTGACCCTGAACCGTCCCAGTTCCCCACCAGATCAGCAAACTTTCTGTTGCTGCCCGACGAATGATCAGTTCAATGTCTGCCCGGTTAGCCTGAGCTAACACAGCAGCAGTGCCGGCTAACATCCAACACTGAGCCATTAAACATTCCCAACAAACTCAGTAGTTTAACCCATCAATAAGCGTGAGTTAAAGTTAGCTGCATGATGCTAACAGTTAGCCCTGTCACTGAATGTATGGCAGACTCTCCCAGCTAGTCTGTGGTGTGGTGAAATCAGGTGCAGTGTTTTTTAAAGAGTTCAGCGTGCAGAGATGTCACCAAAATATTTAAAAGAATGGCTACACTACACACTGCTCCATTCATATTGAATAAAGTACGTTATCGTATCACATTAGGGTGCTGGTATAGTGATTTTTTAAACTTACCCAGCCTTATTATAAAACGCTAATTTAAAACTGTTGCCTTTCTAAATGATCTACATGAGCAAACAAGACCATCATAAGATTGGCTTTTTCTGTTACCGCCTGTCCCCGGGTCAGACGCCCTGCGAAATCAGATGAAACAATTTACAGCACGCAGACCGAAAGAGTCCATGTTTACATTTTCCCCAGGCAAAGTTCGACAGTGAATCGTTCGTTGGCCAGTTAACAGGAAGCAAAGGAGATTTTTCTATCGAGAATTTTATATTTGACATTACTTTTGGTAGTTACACTGGATAGTGAGGCGGCATCAGCACAGAGAAAAAGACTGAAGGAATAAAACATCTAAAAGGGACAGTGATAGATCAGCGGGTGAAAACATGACTCATCCTCAGTCGCTCATTCAACAGATGGAAACTTGCAGGGTTTGAAAGGAAAAACTGATTCTGAACTGTCCCTCTGCCTCCTGCACAGGAATGTAATATGTCTGTTTTATTTATAATATACATTGTGAAAATTTGGTTTAAATATATAATCAGATAAGTTGTGTCGCAACAAATTCCTGCACTGGTCAGATAAAGATCTTTTCGACAGTTCAGTTGAAACAGTTCTGCTTTTGTCCACAGGGGGCGCCAAATTCAACACCAAATGAAAGCTCCTTGTAGCTGCGTTAAATAAAATAATCAGACATGAATCTAAGTTCGGGTTGTAAAGGGAATAAAGTCCATACATACAGATGTGTGGGCTCAGTCAAGATGGAGCTGCTCTCTCATTTTGGCTGCGATCTGCTCTCTTTTCTGGCAGTGTTTGTTCAGGTCTTTGACCTCCATCGGCAGCATGCTGTTCCACACCATCAACACGGACTCCTCCTCTGAGAGCAGACACAAACTTTAGACCCGACAGCATGACAGCTGTATTCACAAAGTGCGCGACCAACAATGAACCATCTCACTCACCAACATGATGTGTGTCCTGTGGGATCCTTCTGCCCAAAACCAGCACCACATTCTTCCAGTTTAGTGTTTCTGTTCATGAAAAAATGATCTGCGGTCACTATCGACAGGAGACACAAACGCCTGACAGAAAAATGTGTTTAGATGCACCATTTCAACATGTAAATAACAAAGACAGAGAACAGGGGTACAGGAAACATATTGAGTTGAACACGTGGACAAACTGTGAGCAGGACGACAGGTTGTTTCACACATTTTATCACACAACAGCTCCGACACACTCACATGACTCACAACAACAGAGGACAAAAGAAAAACACAGCTGTCGTATTATGAGCTCTTCTTAAGTTGTTTTCATTCATTTTCTGACTCTGACTGTTTCCACTGTATTTAAGATGTGCTTTAACAGGTGTGGAGAAAATTTCAGATCAATATGCACGAGGCAATTTGCTGTCATTTATATAGTTGTGTGAGAAAACACTTACATACTTAGAACTGAACCATTTGATCTGATCCACACACGATTAGCTGTTATCTACAGTAAAAGGTCATTTAACATGTTGATATATTTAAAAGATTAATCTCTGGCTGTGTGACATCGTTCTGTTGTCACTTACAAGTGTAAAATGTGGCTTTATCAGTGCCTTTACATGATCACATTGTGCCCTCCAGACATATATCTGTTGAAACTGCCCCATTGTTTATTAACAATAACATTTTTCTATCACTTTGGGTTTTTTTTTACCTTAAAGTCATGCGAGCACAGGTTATAAGGCCAGTTTTCAATATTATAAATACAAATTTATTTCAGTTCAGCACTAAACTTTGTCACCAAGGAGACATAATCTTGGGCAGTTCACATTCTCACCATCTACCAAAATAATCCAGAACATTCCTCCACAGGGGAGAAACCGTAGGACACACCGATAATGCATGCATGTATGTGCCACGTTCTTTCCTGCATTTCCAACATAGATCGACTTTCTGTTGAGTCTCGCCAATTTGCCTCTGGACTCCTCCTGCCTCCCATATCATCCTCAGATGACCATTGTTTTTTATTTAAGGACATATTTCATACCACTTTGTTGCTTTGTGAAACATTGTCAGCAGTCGTCAGATTTTTATCTTAATACAGTCTCTAATCTGTAGATATTTCCAAAAGTGGCCTCATCCTTCCAAGTTAAATTTTTCCCCTCACCCTATTATAT